GTCCAAGAACAACCCACCGGCCCCAGAGTCTACCAACGCCTGGGCCGTCACCGAGCCCTCCGTCCAAGAAAGGACCACGGTGATCAGTGGCTTATCCTTGCGGAACGCCGGGGACGAGGAAACTCTACCCAAGATCTGTCCCTGACATGATCTCAGGTGCGAGCGTTTCCCGGACGGACCGGACAAGACTGTCGAAAGTGCCCACGAGGCCACAGTACAGGCAGCGACCCTCCCCCGACGCCGAGCGGCCCGCTCTCCCTCGGAAAGGCGAGCAAACCCCAGCTGCATGGGTTCCCCACCAGACAAGCTATCCCCAGGAGGCGTGGGAGGGAGGAGAGGGAGGAACGGGTGGGACAGAAAACGCAGGTGCCAGTCGATTGGAAGGCCTCCGCAGGCGTTCCTTGAGTGAAGGCCTCTCCCTGAGCCTGGTGTCAATCAGGATCAGGAAAGAGATGAGCTCCTCCAACGCCACAGGCAGTTCCTTAGCTGCAATCTCGTCCTTCAATGTGTCAGAAAGACCATGGGAAAACGCAGCCACCAGAGCCTCATTGTTCCAACCGACCTCTGCCGCCAGGGTACGAAACTCTATAGCGGCCACGGTCCGTGAACCCTGATGCATGGTCATGAGCAGCTTGGCCGCCGAGGTGGAACGAGCCGGTACGTCGAATACCCTACGGAAGGCATCGACAAAACCGGAAAAATCTTGAATCACCGGGTCGTTCCTCTCCCATAAGGGATTTACCCAGGCCAAGGCCTTGTCTGAGAGTAGTGAAATTAGGAACCCCACCTTTGACCTCTCAGACGGAAAGGCGTGGGGTATTAATTCAAAATAAATACCCATCTGGTTCAGGAACCCACGACACTGACTTGGCTTACCCCCAAAGTGCTGTGGAAGAGGGGCAGAACCAGTCATACCTCTGGGCATCGCTGATGCAGCCGTCGAGGTGGTGGACGCAATAGGCGGAGAAGCAGCGGGAGAGACCACCGGAGTGACTACCGGCCTAATAGCACCAGGAGCAAGGTGTGCAGTGCGTGCAAGCAGAGTTTGCAACGCCTGAGCGAACTGATCCAACAGGTGATCCTGTTGATCGAGTCTGGCGACTAGCATTGGGAGCGAAGGCGTGCCTGCACTGTCAGGGTTCATGGCACTTGTGTAATGTCAGGGCAGGAGCTGAGGAACGGACAGGCAGGCCTAACAATGTAATGGACTGGCTGACGACAACCACCACCCACAGACCGAAGTCCCTCAGGAGTCTAAGTCCCATCCTGCCCTTCACCAGGGCCCCTGATGGTGGGGATGGACTTGACGCAGCCAGGAACCAGGTCGCGGCCCCCGAGACACCCCAGCTGCGGTAATAGCCGCCGCCAATGGCGTGTAGCAGGTGGAAGAGGCAAAAGAGTAGTCAGACAGGCCGGGTCAACAACAATAGGACAAAACAGTACAGGACAGCAGACGAGAATCACAGGTCACGAGCCGGGTTCAGCAACAGAGGGTCAGATCAAAGGAGAATACAAAGAATAGTCAAGTCACAAGCCGAATCAGATACCAGGAGAGTCACGAGAGTCAGAACAGAGTAATAGCAACACAAAGACTGTCAGGGCTCCCAGGTATGACCAGAGGTGTGTGACTGAAGCAGGGAAACGCAGACTTCAGATATGTGATTAACAATGTAATTTATTAACACTAACAATACAAACATAAACGCAGTGCAATACTAAACATAATACAGTGCAAACAAACCCAACCAACCACCCACAGATAACAGTACATACAAGCAAGCGTCGTCAGGCAGGCCGAGTCAATATCAATTGGGCAGGTAGGTACAGGGGGAGCAAGCGGAGAATGGTCGGGGGTCACAGGCCAGGTTCAGCAGGTAGCAAGCAGCGTAGTACAGAGGGTCAGGCAGAGGGGTGGTCAGGGTCACAAGCCAGGGATCAGAACAGGTAGCAAGCAGCGGAGTACAGAGGGTCAGGCAGAGGGATGGTCAGGGTCACAAGCCAGGGATCAGAACAGGTAGCAAAGGAACAGAAACAGGATGCAGGACAGATACAGGGCCCAGGACAAACACAACACCAAGGCAGAGTCTGCAAGTCTGGCCATCCCTTAAATACACCAGTATCATCAGTTCCAGGTGTTAGCTGGCTGAAAGGTTGAGTCTCTGATTGCTGGGAGCACCCGCTGGCCAGCCCTGGTACTGCAGATCAAAAGGCAGGTGAGTCCCACCATTGCTGGCCAGTCCATTCCTGACAAAGACACAAGACACAAGTGCAAAGAGCATGTGCGGGCCACAGGCTTATATGTCATCAGCCACACCCCTCTGGGGGATGGACCACAGAGACCTGAAGGCACAAAAGGATTCCCACCATGCACAGCAGAATCCAAGATGGACGCCAGCACATGGAGTAACATAACCTCAGGGAAAAGGTAGGACCTTGACATGGGGAGTATAGACATCTGCAAATTTTTGGTTAAGGTGATTTGCAAGTGACCGAACTTTGTGGAGCCAGTCAAATTCAGGGTCACTCCGAGGATGACAGAGTTTGTTGTCGTTGAAATCCATAAAACGCATTATATTCTCATATCTCTGCCTGGCCATGGCAGCAGAGAACATAGGCATATGATGAATTGGGTCTGTGGACCAATACAACCGCAATTAATTTTTTTAGCAATGCCCATGTTGAGGGTTAGGCCCAAAAAAACTTTAAATTTGGAAACTGTAATGGGCTTCCATGCGAATGGTCTGGCAAGGTTTGAATATGGGTTGGCGGCGATAAATTGTTGTGCATATAAACTGCTTTGATCCACAGTCAATGCATACAAATCTTGTGTGAAAAATAGCTCCAAAAAATCAAGGGGAGTATTTAAATTTGCTGTTTCCACCTGAATTCCAGGTTCTGCAGCGAATGGGGGAAGTACGGGTACTGCAGAATTTGTTGACTACCAATTGGGATTTGCAAGCACATCCGGAAGGATACTAGGGGCTCTATGGATCTGTGTGCGAATTCTTGGTGGCTGTGGGACACTACTTGTGCTCGACATCGCACCTGCTTGTACTGTACTTATGGGAGTCGCCACGTCACCAAGTGATACTGCAGTGCTGGTATGTGAAAGACCAGGATGTACTAGGCCGATGGTACTCACCAAAAGGTAGCGCGGCACTAGTACTGGCATTCTTCTGCATATGAGAGTCATCATGCTTTTGGAACATCTTAGCAACCTAGGAATGGAGTTGGGTACTCCTGATCTTAGCAGGGACCTCTTCTCCATTGTCTTAGCTATCTGTCAGGGACTGCTCGAACCACTACAAAAAAATTTACCAGCAAGTGCTAGCAGAGATCAGGCTTGATTCTGCGATCACTGCAGTTTTGTTTGCAATGTATCAAGTGACAATGATCTACTGACACTGAACATGCTGGGGGAGGGGGAAGCTTAAACACAGGTGCTGGTAGGTGCCTAGCTAATCTCGCTAATGCTGCATTTTTGGGGACACTATACTAATGTGAACGCTGGTATAGTGCTGATCTGATCAAAGATATTGATCCGTTCAGACACTATACTAGCAATGGAGGTTTATTGTGTATGTGAGCGTGTTCCTGGTAATCAAAGGGTTAAATGTGATTACTGGTGTACTGAAGGGCAATCTGGTGCTATCTGGGAGGGGCGCAAAAACCTCAGGAGCGAGAATCACATATATATACTTGATTTTGCGAACCTGTGCCGGCCTGTAGCAGTATTTCTACTATAAGGCGGTGCGGAAGCGTTTCAACATGTCCAGTAAAAAATTTTTTAACAATCTAATTTCATCATAAATTTAGGCCAAAATGTATTCTTTGCTAAAAAAAAAAAATCCCAATACATGTGAATAAATTGGTTTACGTGAAAGTTATAGCATTTACAAATGGCGGTATAGATACTGGAATTTTTGTTTTTGTGTTTTAGTAATAATGGCAGTGATAAGTGACTTAGAGCGGGACTGTGGCAGACATTCTGACACTGGGGGGAACTGTCTTGGTGTTACTGACATCCCCAGTGACACCCATACAGCGTTCAATGCTAAAAAAAAAAAGCACTGACACAGTACTAATGGCACTGGGCAGGAAAGGGTTAACATTTGGGGGGCGATCAAAGGGTTAACTGTGTGCTGGGAGTGTTTTACTAGAAGCAGGGGGTGTGTGCTTTACTATAGAGGAGGGCTGTTGGTAAACAAAGCAGCCCTCCTCCCCGTCGGTAATCCTCGGCAATCACCGGGCGGCGGCGGGTAATCACCAGCCGGGGCCCTCTGATTGACACCTGGGGCCGTGATCGGCGTGTGGGTAGGGCACGAGCATGCCCCCTACCCGGAAATGCAAAATCATGTATATTTGCGTGATTTTGTGTATCTGTGCCACCGTGTAGCAGTATATCTGCTTTACTACGGCGAGAAAGTGGTTAAAGCAGAACTAAACCCAATGATTTAGGGTCAATTCACACCTGTGTGTTGATCTGCATTTTAGCGCAGCTGTAAAACGCAGATCAATGGAAGAACATCTGAAAAACAATCATTTCCAATGTGTCCTATTCACACCATAACGCTGCGTCAACCTGTGTTGCGCTAAAATGCAACTTGTATGCATTTTAGCACAAAGCAACATAAGTAAGAAAAGAATGTCAACCCAATGCACAGGATAGCTTGTGAAAATGCAGTATGCTTTAACACGCACTAAAATGCATGTCAACACACCGATATAGACTTAAGATTTAAAGTGTTACTAAACCCAGGACCCTGCATTCACTATATCTGGTCTTCCACAGTACACACAACATGGAAGTGCAATTATTTTAGTAAATATATATGGCTAAATACCTTTTCTAATCAGCAGTTAGAGCAGTCTTGTGACTTCTATCAGTGTCCAGCACAGCACTGGTTAAAGTTTGTAGGAGGAGTTTTCTCTCTGCTCTAGGAGGATGCAGAACCCCTGACCTCTGTCTAGACAGTGCTGATTGGCCCTGTGCTGATCACATGCACTCTCCCGAGAAAAAAAAAACCTCTCTAGCAATAGACACTAAACTGGGCATGTGCAGAGTGTCTCCACACAATATGTCTTATCAGGAGATAAGAAGGGGACACTGGAAGAAGGATCAAACAGCTTATTCTACACAATGCAGAGGATTAACCCCTTAGGTTCCACAGTGAGTATAACAAGAATGCTTTACTGCATATACAGGCTGATTTTACTGTTGTGGGTTTAGTAACACTTGAGTGTCTTTCTGCTTAGAGGCTGGGCTCTGTGCAGCCAACTCTTACGCCATCGCCCTGTTAGATGGCTGCTGTTCTGTACCTTTTTAACCCAAAATAAACACCTGTTAAAAAAAAATGCATATCAACGGATGTCAAAATGTATGTCAACGGATGTCAGTGCACAACTAAAATGGATGGAAAAGCACATCCATTTTCCATACATGTTAGCAAATGTCAGTGTGAATTGGCCCTTAACGGTTTCAAAAAACAGTTACATTCCTGGCATGCTGGGACTGCTAACTGTCACATTTGCTTGTGCTCACATCAAAACTGTCAAGTCATCAAATATCTGGTATCATAACTGATCAAATGAGCAGCACCATGGCAGTTGAATGTCAAACAGAAGCAGCGTCCTTGGCTGTAAAGGATAGGAGGGCCTAGTTCCGCTTTAACTGTTTTTTTTTCCTGACAAGTATATATTTTTCCAGCAATAAAATGTTTTAAAAATCTAGAAAAAAAGCGTATCTAAAGTTATTTTTTTTTTTTCATTTTGGATAGCGTGGGAGGGGTTTAAAACTACTATCATTAGATTCATGTGTTCCAATCACCTTCATGACCACAGGTGTATAAAATCAAGCACCTAGGCATGCAGACTGCTTCTACAAACATTTGTAAAAGAATGGGTCACTCTCAGGACTCTTTTCTAAGAATTTTCGTTCAAATTTCTCACCATTAGTGGGTCACAGAAATGGACAATTTTCACGTGACCATCGAATTTGAGTGATCTGGCATGTTGGAAATTTTTTGAAAAACGAATTAATTTTGAATCAATAATGGGAGAATCGTGCAATAAATATAAACGAAAAAGAAATGAGCATGAGCTGTGATCTGGAAAGAAAAGAAAATTCTTGGGCACGAAAATTCTTTTATGTAACAACATGAGGTGAAATTGAAGGCTTGGTTCTTTTAATTTTGAAATCAATGGTGGCATCATCAGATAACAAAACACACGAAATTTCCGATTTTCTAAAGAAAATTTGTTTGGAATTCGACTCATGTATGGCCTGCATTGCATTAGTAGTATAACAAACTGCAAGCAACTAGGAACAACAGCAACTCAGCCACGAATAAGCCACATAAAATTATAGAGCGGGGTCAGCGCATGCTGAAGGGCACAGTGTGCAGAAGTCGCCAACTGTCTGCAGTGTGAATAGCTAAAGACCTCCAAACTTGATGTGGCCTTCAGATTAGCACAACAACAGTGCATAGAGAGCTTCATGGAATAGGTTTCCATGGCCAAGCAGCTGCATCCAAGCCTTACATCATCAAGTGCAATGCAAAGCGTTGGATGCCGTAGTGTAAAGCACGCTGCAATGGACTCTAGAGCAGTAGAGACGTGTTCTCTAGAGTGACGAATCACGCTTCTTTGGCAATCTGATGGACATGTCTGGGTTTGGTGGTTGCCAGGAGAACGGTACTTGCCTGACTGCATTGTGTAAAGTTTATTGCAGGGGGTATTATGGGTGTGGGGTTGTTTTTCAGGGATTGGGCTTGGCCCCTTAGTTCCAGTAAAGGGAACTCTTAAGGCATCAGCATACCAAGGCATTTTGGACAATTTCATGCTCCCAACTTTGTGGGAACAGTTTGGGGATGGCCCCTTCCTGTTCCAGCATGAATGTGCACCAGTGCACAAAGCAAGGTTCATAAAGACATGGATGAGTGAGTTTGGGGTGGAGGAACTTGACTGGCCTGCACAGAGTCCTGACATCAACCCCACAGAACACCTTTAGGATGAATTAGAGTGGAGACTCCGAGCCAGGCCTTCTCATCCGACATCAGTGCCTGACCTCACAAATGCGGTTCTGGAAGAATGGTCAAACATTCCCATAGACACACTCCTAAACCTTGTGGACAGACTTCCCAGGAGAGTTGAAGCTGTTTTAGCTGCAAAGGGTGGGCCAACTCAATGTTGAACTCTACAGACTAAGACTGGGATGCCTTTAAAGTTCATGAGCGTGCAAAGGCAGGCATCCCAATACTTTTGGCAATATAGTTTTTGTCTCATTGGGGAGATTTCCCTTCACTTCCTGTCCTGTAGATTAAATTGTTTTTATTTTTTATAAATTAACATAGGGTGGTCACACCAAATATTGATTTGATTTGGAATTCTCTTCTATTTTTTTTACTTTCCATTATGTTCATTGATAAAAATAAACTATGACCACTGCTATTTCTGAAACTGTTCTTATTTACAGTTTTTGTTTCACAACTGCCTAAGATTTTGCACAGTAATGTATATCTACTACCCAATGGACCTCTATGGAAACTCTAAATCACTGTAGCAGCTGAGCCACTATAGTAATGGCTGCGATCTCCTAGTGTTCTTTTTCTGCCTGTCAGCAATATTGCTGTAATTATATAATCTCGGCATGTCTTGGGTACAGGGGTTAATAAACTCCTATGTCTATGCACACAATTTACATTGTCCTGGGCTGACCAATCAAGATGACTGAAGGAACAGCACCTGGATGGAGAAGGAGTAAGGATGTCAGCTACATGAGAGATTATAACTGTTACATTGCTGAAGAACGGTGCAACGCGCAGCCTCCTCGGGTCTCATGGCGGAGCTGAGACAGTGCCTCACCAGGTCCCCATCCGTGCCAATTTCTTTTCTTCCGGGGGGGGGGGGGGGGTGACGCTGCCCGCCCACCCTCTCCTGAAAATTGCTGCCCTAAACAAACACCTTGTTTGCATCATGGTAAATATGCCTCTGACTGTCAGTCATATTATCAGATAACTCCCAGCTGAAGAAATATGCTCTTTTTTTACAATGTATAGCCCTTTCCTCCCCTATGAATGAGCTCTTACAATTGTGACTTAAAAAACAAACTGTCATCTTTTCAAGGACATAATCAAATGTAAAGTTGAACTCTGGGATCAGGGCTGGGACCAGTGGGGGAGGGGGTGCAGTTCTGCATCCCTGCCCTGGGCACTAGACGAACATGTCCTGGTACTATCATATGCAGATATTGTCTAAATATAAGTGACGTGTATTTTTATCAAACTCTTGGTATGCTTTGTGTATTTCTTCCATATCTAGGCAGAACGTTGCCTCTGTGAAGGAGCTTCCTGTAATAAAGACCAGCCACTGTTGCTCTCTCTCCTTAAGGTGAATGGTCTTGCATCCGCCCCTCTTATAGTTTTCTGCAGCCTGTAGAAGATCGTTCTGCTGGGCCCCTCCCACAGCTCTGCTCTCTGTATAGGCCATGTACAGTACAGTGATGATGTCATTGCTATTTTTACAAGGTAAATAACTGGGTTTGCAAAGTCATTTGGATCACACAAAATAGATTTATAGTATATCCTTTGTGGATATAGTGGAAAATATTTAAATCAATTTTCTGTGGCCCAAGTTCAGATTTTAAATGGGTTTCGTGGGTGAAGAATTACACCTGCTTTTACCAGTGCAAGATTTCCTTCATCTAGGCTCAAATTTTGTTGGAAATTATCAACATCTTCAGATTATATTTTACTTTCATAAACATTAATTATTTACATGCCATTGAATTGCACTTTAATGCTGTTTGATTCACCACATGTATCATAAGATAAACAACACACTGTAACTAAACTGTCACAGAACATGAATGGAAGTTCTACAGTACGTCTGTGTGCTAAGCAAGGAGCTATATTAAGTAGCTGGTATTTCCCACAGCTAAGTGATTTAGACTGGTCATTTGAGATCCCTCTGTGCTGTAATATAGTAGCATCGAACATGTCCCAATGCTGTGAAACAACATGCCAGTCTGATACAAGGTTGCAAACATTACAAAACTAATGACAGTACACTCTGCTGCTGCTGGAAGGGCCATAAAAAACTGTTACATTATTTCCAGGGTTTATGAGGACGGAATATTTTTTAAAAGGCGGTTTACTGGTATGTAGTCATTTTCAAAATGTAGCTGACTTTCTTGCCTGTAGGCCCATATAAGAACATAAAGAAATATCATTAAAAAAAAAAACAAAAAAAACAAAAACTTACACAACTAAAAGTTTTATGTTAAAAGCATAAGTAAAGATCATTTGGATTCAGATATAGTATACAGACAGCTAGACTAACATATGAAAATTTGACTTTATTATCTCATGTCTCCTGACGCAAGGAAATAACTGATTTTGACACTGGGCTTCACTCAAGGTAACATTTGCCTATGCAAATTTTTCATCATATGCAAAGCATGTATTCCCCCAGATTTGTAACAGATTTTACTCTTTAACAACTTAAAGTGGAGTTCCACCCAAAAGGGGAAGTTCCGCTTTAATGCCTCGTTCTTCGCTGCCCATTAAGGATTGGCACCTTTGGGGAGCGGGGGGAGAAGCGGAAGCTGTTCTCTCCCCCTCCCTCCCTGTAGTCTTCTGCAACACAAGACAGGTTCCAGAAGACTATGGGGCCATTCACAATGTGCAGCGCTTCTCGCGCATGCCCAGTGGGCACCCAGCTGCTAAGCCGCAAGCTGTCACAGCCAGGTGCCCTCACTAAAGATGCTGGCTCCAGGGAGAGAAGATGGCCAATGAAACCAGTGATGGTGAGGACACCGCTGGGCTGAGGGACAGGTAAGTGGCTGTATTTTAAGTCAGCAGCTACAGTTTTTGTAGCTGCTGACTTTTATTCTATTTTTTTCAGATGTAACATTGCTTTAAACTCCAGAAGATTTTACCCCCTTCATGACCAAGCCATGTTTTGCCATTTAGCACTGCGCTATTTTAACTGATAATTATTTGGTCAGGCAATGCTGTACCCAGACAAAATTTATATAATTTTTTTCACACAAATAGAGATTTATTTTTGTGGTATTTGATCACCACTGGGTTTTTTATTTTTTTTTGTGATATAAAGGAAAAAAAACTGAACATTTTGAAAAAAATATTTTTTTACTTTCTGCTACAAAACATATCCAATAAAAAAAAAATAAAATTTCTTCATAAATTTTGGCCAAAATG